GAAATGAGGGGAAATGTGTAGGGATGTAGATGAAATAACACTGATCACACATTGATAATTAAGCTGGCTGGTAAATCAGGTTCATTATACTATTCTCTTTACTTTGGTTAATGTCTGAAAACCACTATAAGAGAAAAAAAGCCCTAGGAGTATGGTTAAACTGCATACTTATCTGATGTGCCCCACAGCACTGGGTACATAGCATGTCATAGATGAATACTTACAAGTTCATTAAAAGATTGCCATAAGATTTTTCAGTTATTGAGAATAACTCAAACACCTTACCAAACATATTTTATTATTCCACCGAAGTTATTCATTAGAACAAAAATGATCACAAAGTTGTTCCAAAGAATAGGTCCAGTTTATTTGATTAAAAAATATTTGCAAACATAATCCTTTTTATGAAATGTGGGGTTGTCATCAAAATGTAGTCATTAAGAATTTATCAAATAGATCACTCTATGTCGAATTCAATGACAGAAGTATTCCTTAATTTATTCACCCTAAATTAAGAGGAGCAGCTAACTCTAAGGTCTTTAGCCCAAGAAGGAGTAGGTGAGGAGTAGCCTGCTTTCTCCGCTGCAGAATGCTTCTGGAAAGGATGCTGAAGAACGTGCTGGAGAAGAGAGACCTGCCAAACAATTGAAGCACATAGATACAGATTTCTTTCTCAGGACCCTTATCAATTTTCTAAATTCCCAGAATGACAAGGTTAAATATATATTTCTTTAAAAATATTTAAACATTTTATGTTTTATTAAAATTTCAACTATAGTTGTTACTTAAAATTTCTATCATTCCACAGAAAGTTCCTTTAAGTACTAGTTTTGTGCTAAAACAGGAGAGCAAATACATACCCTGTCACAAAGACTATATATATACGTCCCAATAATTTTAAAGTTCTTTTACAGCATTAAGAGAATTATAATTTTCTAAAATATTTACAAAAATAAAAGAATGTCAGTGGTTTGCCATCTTTCTAAATCAAGGGCATGGAGTCCAACTCATGCTGCTTCCTCATTTGCAATTTGACCCTTGGTAACAGACTGAGGCATCAAAGAACACACCTCTTTCAAAAGTAATTCTAGGATCAAAATGTATATTTCCAGCCAGTTATAAAATAAGTCCTGGGAATGTAATGTCCAGCATGGTGACTATAGTTAATAATACTGTATAGCGTATTTGAAAGTTGCTAAGAAAACAGATCCTAAAAGAAGTCATCACAAGAAAAAAATTTTTGTAACCATCTATGGTGATGGGTGTTAACTAGACTAACTGTGGTCATAGTTTCACAATATATACAAATATTGACTCATCATGACATTAAAGTAATATGTTATATGTCAACTATACCTCAATTAAAATATACTTTTTGGTGGTTTTGTCATTTCTTGGGTGTAAATAAAGGAATACTTGCTTCTGACAGAAAAAGCTGCATGATTATCTATACTAAGAAAGTACCAAGAGATCAGAGATCAAATTACTGTATTACTAATATTTAAAATAGGAAGACTCATCATAATCAATATGGTGCTCTTAGAACCTCTCTTAACTTCCCCCAGGTGCTTTATACATATCCTTTTGTTGAAGTTAGTTTTATACCTATCTAATCTCACTCGTTGGCTAAAAATCTCCCTAAATACATTTTTACATACTTCTTCATAGCACCTCACATACAGTCTCAAGAAATGTTTGATGCAGGCAGGTAAACATAAGTTGTATGTGTAAAAGTTTACCTTACAGAGGTTTAACAAAAATCTTTTTCCTTCCCTGCATGAGACTTGAACCCTTAATTAACTTCCTAGGTCTGTTCCCCTAGTCACTTGATAAGGTCTTATATGTATATATTTATATTTATACTTATATTTATATATATAGATAAAACCATATAACATTGCTTATGACTGACAAATAGCATCTGGATGGGAGAACTGTAAACACCTGACAAAATGCTTTAGGCTTTCTTTAGTGTGGTGACTCGGTACAAGGCAGGTCTCTTGTGGGGACACTGGAAACTCCGCCTATGGGGTTGTGACAAGAGGTACTGGTTTCTATGGAACATGAAGCTTTTAAGCCAGGGCTGCCCTGCATCTTCCCAGTGTGGGCCCTGTCCCCGCACACCCAAGCTTCGCTGCTGTGCCGGGTGCTAGCATGGACTACAAGAACTCCTGCAGATGGGGAGCCTGATGTTGCCCTGCTGGTAAGCCAGTCTGTCCTCTGTCTGAGCCAAGTGGGGCCAAGAGCAGCCTGAACCTGAATGTGCACCTGAACCTAGGAAGACGCCTCTCCACCCACGGTAGGTGCTGCACCCTTACTCAAAGATAATTTGGGGGAAGGGAAGAAAACAAGGAACAAGAGATAGGGAAGGAAAGAGAAACAAGCCAACAAAACAACTGATGAAACAGTGCTTCGTTTCCCCAGCTTTGGCTGATTTAAAGACAAATACTGAGCTCTCTCCCTTCTCTTTGTCTTTCTTTCATACCATAAAAGATTACATTTTAAAATGTTTTATTTTCTAAAGTGAAAACCTAGATTTGTCAGGCTAATGAAACTACTGAAATAAAAAGTTAATGCAAGTCCCAAATTAGAAATAGCAAAAATAGGGGGCGCCTAGGTGGCTCGGTCAGTTAAGTGTCCGACTCTTGATTTTGGCTCAGGTCATGAAAGGGTCATGAGATCGAGCCCCACACTGGGCTCCACATTCAGTGGGGAGTCTGCTTGAGATTCTCTCTCTCCCTCTCCCTCTGCCCCTCCCCCCACTCACACATGCTCTCTTGTGCTCTCTCTAAAATAAATAAATCTTTAAAAGAAAAAAGAAATAGCAAAAATAGTTTCTCTCTCGTGCCAATTCTAATCACTTGGTAGTGACCACATACGTGCTGTGGTGAGAATGATTCTGAGGTGGGACCAGTTAAGAGAGAAAGAGAGCCCAGCATCGATAACATCCACTCCAGGGCAGGACAGTGACAACAGGAGTGCCAAGGCCAGTCCTCTTCTAAAAAATATACTATGTGCATTGCATTTTAAATAATTGATTATGAAGTATTTGAAGCATACAAGAAGGTATGCAGAACAATACAATGAACACCCGTGTATCCTCCACTCAGCTTCAGAAATCAGATACTTCCAATCTGATTAGAGCCCAGTATGAATCTCCTTCCCTAACTCAAATTTCTTCCTTACCTCAAAGTAACCACTGTCCGAAGATGATGTTTCTCATCTTTATTCCTTTTGTTACTTTCATTATATATGCATGCATCCCTATGTGGCATATAATATTGAACGTGTTACACCGTGTTTAAGTGGTACTTATATGCCTTTGCCACTTGCTTGTTTTGCCTAACATTATATGTGGGATTCATCCAGGCAGATGCATGGAGACTTAGTTCACCCCATCTTCACTGCTGTCAGGGTTAATTTAAGTGGACCCACGTGGCTAGTGCCATGGACACCTGCTAGAAGCAAAAAGCTAATTCCCTCTGCAGAGAAGCACCCTTAAATCAGGCTTCACTGGATCTCAGAGATTGAAATCCAGAAGTCCAAAACATAAGCAATAAACAGTAGAATCAGACCCTCAGAAATCTGAATAATATAGATATGGGATATAAATGAATCTTTAAAATTTTAAATCCATTAAAGAATAAATTAGAAACTATGAAAAAAAATGATTCACTGAAAAACAAAAAAAAGGGAGACTAGGCAGCAAGAATTCTTAAAGTTAATAAAAATAAAGCCAGAAGCCTCAAACACCTTACCTCTGAAAAATCATTCCTTTCTGCTTTTCGCACTGCAGATTCTGCCATCCAGTTCTTCAGTACATACCTAGGATTAACAGCTTAAGGGGGAAAAGCATGTTTTGGAACAATAAATTACTAAGTCCATACAGGCCATATGAAATTATCCCCCAAATTGGATAAGCTTTAAGAACTGTGCTGGAATGTATGGTGATTAACATAACATAATAAAATTAAATTAAAAAAAAAAAACTGTGCTGGAAGGTGCAAATGAGAAGAAACGATCAGCATCAGTCCATTTTTGTTGTTTATAAACAATGTGCACTATTATGGTACAGAAAACACTTTTTTGAGCGTTATGAGCAATACTGTATTTGGTTTTTCTCTTCAGTGTTTCATCACTACTTTGGTTTTTTCACCATGTTCAGTTCACTAAGCACTTTCTAAAGCATGGAGAAAGTAGTGAATGCATCTGAATTAGGCCCTTTAGCCTAAGTGGAGGTAGTGGGGGAGAGAAGTTGCTGCTTTTAACATCTTTAAGCTCAGAATCCAGGTCTGACTTAGTAGGACTGCTCAAAGTTAATGCCGCCAAGAGCAAACATGAAAGGTTACATGCAGGCAAAACTCTTTATAAATTTATATTTTTTATAGTAACCATGCATTTTGTCATTTTAAAGGTATTATAATAATGGCACATTTAGAAAAATTCCAGAAACTACGTCTTTAGTTGAGATGAGCCTTTTCCAAAATAATTTATCAACTGAATGGAAAGGAGGGATGCTTCTCCCCACTAGCACAACAGAAATTCCAGGAATCATCATTTTGTGATTCTCAACAGTTTGCTGAGCTACTTGAATGGAGGAAACATACAAATTCCCTTTCAACTTGGTTTTAACAATCTACCAAGTTACGACATATAATCTAGTTATAAGAAGTGCCCTGTGACCCAGTAATTCTGTAGGAACATAGTCTATGAGAACAAATTTAAACATAAAAAAAGTATTATTTATATTAAGGAAAACTAGAAACAATTTAAATACTTAGTAGGGGAATAATTAAGTAAAACACTGCATACCCTTTCAAAGAAATATTATGCAGCTGTTAAAAGTGTTACATTATAAAGAATGAAGCAGCAAGGGAAAATGCCTTATTTACTTTTAGCAGAAAAAAAAAAGAAAGACCTAAATTATACCATTGTATGATTACTACTACATTTTTCTCCTAATCAATACACACAGAGAAAGAGAGACTAGAAGTAAATGCAAAAAGTAAATAATAACTGTATTTGGGAAAACAGGATTTTTTTTTTTAGTCTTTCTATAAGTTTGCATTTTTCAAATTTTAAAGAATTCATACAGTACTTGTTTAAAACAAGACACATATACACAGAAAATACAATCTTTAAACAAAAAGGAAACTAACATGCAAGGGGAATTGTGGAAATGCTCAGCATAGGCAGAGGGAGAGCAGAGTCTTCCAATGAAATGTTTGACAAATTTGACAAACATTGCCTAGAAACCTGGCAATGAAATACTGTTAAAACGTACTAGAAATTTCAGCTACAAGCAGAAGTGCTTTGGACCAAGTTATAAATATACAAACTACTTGAAAATCAGAAAATTATAGATCTGTTTATAAGATTGTTTGAGGAGTTATTGGATTCTGTACATTTTTATCTAGTTGGGAATTTTCTGTTGATGGGTTATTTCTTTTGGCAATAAAATTTTAAGCAGTCGGTTAGTGAGGATTCTGTCCACACACAAACCCTGCCAGAGTTCCATGTAATGTGGTAATCCCTGATCCACTAGAGTGTTGACTACTTACGGACAGGGCTCAAATTCATCTTTGTAGTTTCACCTTTCAACAGAGTGACTGTACAAAAAGGGGCATGTAATAGGGGCTAAGTATATGTTTCTGAATAAGCAAATTTAGTGCTGAAAGAGATTTAAGACTATGTTTTACTGACCACATCATAATATAAATAAAGCACGTCACTGCTACCATACAAATGGAAAAAATTAACGTTATCAGAAAGTCAGCAGATTCGATGGCCATAAAACACTGAACTCTTCAAATTATTAAACGGAATTAATCTCTCATAGGCTGGCAATGAAACTGGAAAATGGTAGTTCTATTTATCATTTATCTAACTCAATAAAAATAAATCTTACTCTCATTGTTAGTTATTAAAATACTTTGAGAAAAATGATTACAAATGTAGCATCTTCCATTGTTCCTTCTCTCTGTCTATTTTAATGTCCAGGAGGAAGAATGAAGAAGGAAATTTTTCTTTTATTCTATTATCTACAAAAGGTCAGGTCTGAAATACCTATTTGAGGTCAGAATTTATACTATCAGCTTAACTGAGAGCACTTTCACCTTGCTTCCCAAATGATCTTGCTTAATTTCTACTGAGAGTCCTCAGCACACAAAGGAAATGTCTCTGACTTGCAATGTCTCATACTAGCATTCTCTTTGTTTCTTTTCCAAAAGAGAGAAGATTGGGCTAAGCCAATCCCAGTCGGGGCCAATTCATTCTCCATGATCATTGGGCATATGGCTGTGTCTTCCAATGAAGCTCAAACCCAGGATTTCAACATAGTTGGCCTTGAGCTCTAATAACCTGTGTTCGGAGAACAAGTAAAGATTCTTTGGAGCATGTGCCACAAATTCACTACTAGGCACAAAGAAAGCAGAATTACACTGACGCATTTTCAGAATCACAACCAAGTTAGTTTTATTGCAGATGTAGCTGTTTTAGAGCTTTTTAAGATCTCCCCCCAGCAATATAAACCCAATCGCATCATGCTGGAGATACAATGGCCACTGTCAGGGCACAGTACCGACAGTAATCAAAAGCATTTCTCAAACAAGATTTTACTATGATCTTGGGCTGGGTGGGCACAATGTGACACAGAAGAGAAGTGATCAATGCCTTCTGGTGGCTTATGATCATAGAGTTATTCGGAGGCTTAAAAATTATAAATTTTATAGAGTTTTTTTTTTAATTCTAAGACCTTTAAAACACTCATCTTTGATGTTCCCATTGCTTGCAACTTGGAGCATTAACAAAAAAATTTTAAAGCAAATCTTCCCCTGGAATCCCTGGCTGGCTCAGTTGGTAGAGCATGCAACTCTGGATCGTAGCTCATGAGTTCAAGGCTCCACACTGGGCGTGGAGCCTACTAAAAAAAAAAAAAGTCTTCCCCTAATCTACTATTGATTTTTTTTTAATGTTTTGAAACAATATACAACAGCAATATATTATTAGCCTTTTGGTTTCTAAAAAACATAGTCATCATAGTCATCCCAGCCTTCCCAACAAAGATATTTAGTGTACTCTATACTAACTTAATAGCTGATACTTATTGAGTACTTATTATGTGCCAACTACCATCTCCTGATTTTGTGCAACAATCCATGATGTAAATGCATTTTATAGATGAGGAAACAAAAGCGAAGTCAAATGGATAGAATTGTTTTAAAACTGGACTGTCATGATTGCACAGTTCTTTAAATTTAGTTTATAAAAAATCACTGTACACTTAAAATGAATGAACTTTGTGATGTAAATTATACCTCAATAAAGCCACTAAAAAAGTATATATACACACCAGAAAGAGAAAAAGAGGGATGAAGGAATCGAGTGACCTGCTTAATAACATCTAGGAAATAAATGGCCGAACCAGAGCTCAGGTACAGCTGGTCCAACTCTGGGGGCCAGACCATACTGACCCTCTAAGGAAAAGAAACTCAGGTCAAGAGCTGAGAAATGAAGACCCTAGAAGGGAAATGAAGATTCAGACTTCACTACACTGGACACTCTTCTTAGATATTTTATTTCTTCATGCCTGTTCAGTTCTTCAATTCCACACCCCTGGTACACACTGTTACATGAATTTGTGCAATTTCTTACATATTTGCATTTTCCTATCAATTAAATATATAGTAATAACGTATGGAAGTGTACCTTTAAAAAAATAACTGCGCTATCATTATCAACTTTTATCAGACCGCTGCTCTTTGTAGAAATTTATCTTTTTCCCTTCCTTGAGAGCACATTGTTCAGCACTAGCTTCTCTAAAATAACTGAAAGCTGCAGCCTTGAGTTCATTAAATTTCTTTCATTTACCACCTCATCCATCCTGTCATAACCAAACAAATCCAAAAACTAAAAACTGTCACCACATGTTAGTCTTCCGATTTCTTCTTTCTCTTAACTGCTGAGTGTCCACATTCTGAGTTGGCTTATAAATTCTGTATGACTGCACCAGTGGACAGAAGTGGCTGGCAACGACTCCATGCTGAGCCCCGAAGAGATCACTCACTTCCCTGTAAAAGCTAAACTTGTTTGTTTGTTTTTTTAAAGATTCTATTTATTTATTGGACAGACAGGGAGCAAAAGAGCACAGGCAGGGGGAACCGCAGAGAGGGAGAAGCAGGCTCCCGGCTGAGCCGGGAGTCCAAAGCGGGGCTCCTGGGATCGTGACCAGGAGGATCGTGACCTAAGCCGAAGGCAGCCCCTTCACAGACTGAGCCACCCAGGTGCCCCTAAACTTAGTTTTATTTCTCTAATAATGTCCTGAGTTCAAGAAGCAATCTCACTCCCTAATCTAACATGGAATGTTAGCATCAGCCTTATTTCACTCACACAAATCGGCCACCCTGATGACACACACTAGCTCTCTATACAAGTCCTAAGTAAGACAACAGGAATCAAGGACTTTGAACCTACTCTCTGAACGTCTTTGATCTTGTTAGAATCCACACGTAGAAAGAACTAATTTCCATTTTTTTATGTTCCAAACCAAGTGTGAAGTCACATGGTAAACTAAAATTGATATACAGAGATGATTTCTTTTTAGAGCTATCACTTACCGGATGTGTATTATGGCCCATGCACTGTAACAGGATACTTTACATATATTATTGCTCATCATTACAACATCGCTGCAAAATATCCCCATTTTACAATAGCTAAGGGCCTTGAAACTCAGAATTAAGTATCTTGCAGATCATGCAGCTAAAAGGTAGCAAGATGAGATTCATCTGCCAGATCCCCAAACTCACATTCTTGCCACCATAACCCAAACTACCTTGTCTCTCTACCATCTTTTAGGACAATATTAACATCAGTATGCAAACTGTTATACTGTTAAAGGTCATTTAGAAAGGCTCATAGATGACACTTCCACTAAAATATACTTAACTAGAATTATTCTAGTTAAAAACAAGCCAAAAAAAAAAAAAACCCAAAAAACAAAAAACAACCCTTGGTTGTTACTCAAGTAATTACTTCAAGTAATTACCTCAAGTAATTACTTCCGGCTTTCAAAAAAATGTTGCTTTTATGTGATAATCCTTAAAGTTGAAAAAATCAAAAGGTTTACTCACTTGTCATTCTTTTTCTTCTTTCAGAATCTGAATCATTCATGTTACTAACAAAGAATAAAACAAAGGACAAAATTAACCATTGTCTCCTCATATCTTTTTTTCAAAAGGGTGGGAATTATTTCACAAGACAAATATTGGGGAAAAAAACATTTAAAAATCACATTGAATCAGTGGTCTGAAAGGAAGATAGAAAATACTGAGTTTGATTACATAACATATAAAATACTACCTTGTTTAGTTATTTTAGCTAATCCCAAACCTTTTATTTTTACAAATTAAAAAAGTTTTGTCTAAAAAAAACTAACTTGTCTGATACCTTTCTTTATCTTAAACAGTTTTCTGAAAATAATTCCATTTTTTCTTTTCTTGATTAATCATGGTCATGTTTATAAACAGCCCTCAGGGGCAATTAAACTGGGAAGGACTATTTCTCCCTGTCTCTCCCTTCAGAGGCCACTACCCACAATGTCTTTACTCCCAAGTTTGTTGCTTCTACTTCACTGTAATTTATGAAGCAAAGTAAGTCTTACAAATGTATATGATGTGACAACTAATAGTCTAGAAGCCTGAGGAGCTCTCCTCCAGAGCTTCACGGCATGGGCTTTCCGGGGTACCTGGGGAAGCAGCATTATCAGAGTTGAGGTGAACAGACCTGGGCTGTCTCCATGGGTGAGGTATTGCCATGGACGCCTCAGCGGGTGCAAAGTACCCAGGATTAAAAAGGAAATGATGAAAAGTTGAAGGAAGACTCGAAGGGTACCTCTGCTAAAGTAATACATCACATGCTTTTTCAGAAGTGGTTAGATTACCTTACCTCTTCAGTCTCAAAAGGTACTGGGACACCCAGGCAGGAAAAAGCTTGTGCTCTGAAATCATCTTCAGTGCCCAGAATTGCTAAGTGAAAATACGGTAATAGGCTGCTTATTATATTAATATTCGTTCTGTTTATTTTAACTTCATGTTACTTTAAATTATGTTCTTTAATAACTTGTAATTTCCAGATTTTTTTAAGACATGCTATTTCAAGTAGAAGTAATACTAAAAAAGAATAATATTTTCCTTTTCTTTATATGACATTCAAGTCTAAAATTCTAATTCATGGAAATTCATGTAATGGCATGATTTAAGATAAACCAAGTCCTTATAGAGATTACATGTGAATACTTATGTTATCCAAAAGCCTTCCTTTATTTATTTTCAAAAGCCTTCCTTTAAATAATGTATAATTTACTTTTAAAAAACTTCATTTGCAACTGCATTTTATTTAGTCATCTATTCATTCATTCAACAAATATTTATGGAATGTCAATGCTGCTCTGGGAACTGTTAGGTGGGAAGGATTTAAAAATTAATAAGACATGATTCCACTCCTAGTATCTGTCCAAGAGAAATGAAAACATATGTTCACACAAAAACTTGTACATGAGTGTTTGGAGCAGTATTTATTCACAATAACCAAGAAGGGGCAATGACCCAAATGTCTATCAACTGGTAAATGGATCAGCAAAAGATGGTATATCCATACAGTGGAGTACCACTCAGCGACAAAAAGGAAAGAACTGCTGATACAGGTAACAATATGGATGAACCTCAAAACTCAGCTAATGAAGGAGCCAAGTGCAAAAGACCACATTTTGTATGATTCCATTTGTAGGAAATGTCTAGAAAGTGAAAACCTTGAGACACAAGGTAAATTAGTAGCTGCTTGGGGCTAGGAGTGGAAACAGGGATTAACTGCAAATGGGCACAAAGGATCTTTATTTTAGGGTGATGGAACTGTTCTAGAATCAAATTGTGGTGATAAATGCATAAATCTGTAAATTATAAAAAATCATTGAATTATATACATAAGGTCAGTGGAATTTTATGGCATGTAAATAATACCTCAATACATCTGTTAAAGAAAACTTAATTAAGAGAAAACCAAATGTCACAAATGACTACCTGGGGAATGTTGAGCTCCTCTAACTGGCTTTGGGTAATCTCGCTGAGCTGCCGAAATGTCATTGTAAAATCAGCTTCTGTCTTTTCCATGAGCTAATGAGAATAATTATGTTTATCAATCTCAAGTCTTCAAGGATATGCTGATTAGTAATTCAAAAGTTAGTCAGAAAAAAAAAAGAGAAAATGACAAACTCACATGTAAGAGAAATGCAATTAAATCATCATCACCCTTCCTCTCTCCAAGTAACCCCAGTTTGGCTTTGAACAAGTCTCTAAATCTGAAATAGAAATGTCAATTCAGTTCAACTCTCACTATTTTAAGAATTGTCCTCAAATCAACCAGGATGCTTTAATATCCCTATTCAAAAGGACAAACCTTGTATAATAAAGAACTGGATACCCCTCAAGAATCTGAGCAGCTCTACAGGGACAAAAAAGGAAAGACAATTAGACTTGATTTAAAATTAACATTCTTGAATCACATTTTACAAGAACAAAGTGAGCCTTTTCACATGTGAAATACAAATATGGTAATTATATTTATCAATCTCAATTCATATGTTTCATAAAAATATAAAGATTAAAGCATTCTTAACCTTAAACTCATCTTGAAACAAATTAAGTTTCTATTTCTTAATATTCTTAAATGTATTTTAAATCATATAAAAGCTCAACTCATTCTGAAGCCCCACTGCCTTTACCTCACTGAGTTCATCCCATGTAAGTTTTCCCCTTGCTCATTCTGAGGCAGCCACAGGAGCCTCCCTGCTGTTCCTTAAACACCCCCCACACACCTGCTCGGGACCTTTGCACAGGCTGGTCCCTCACCCGGAGTACTCTTCCCCCAGGCATCCGTGTGGCTTGCTCCTGTGACTTCTTCAAGCCTTTGCTTGAATGACATACTGACCATCCTTTTAAAACTGCAAACCTTCCCTCCCTTTATTCCCTATCCCCTGCTTTATTTTTCTTCATTGTATTTATCTCCTTCTAATAAGCTACATAACTTATTTATTCTGCTTGACTGCCTCTCCCACCAGAAGTAAGTAACACAAGGGCCCAATTAACATGCTGTTTGATTCACTGCTGTCCCCTTAGTACTTAGAACAGTGTCTGGCACATACTGAGCACCTCAATAAATATTTGTTGAACAAATAAATGAACTCTGCAAGGCAAAAGGGATATAAAATTCATGGAGACAAGAGTGACTGCTTAATGAAAATTGTTTTATATTGCTTTGATTTTGAACTATGATATATTACCAATATATTTCTGAATTATATTAAGGAAACCATAGATCACATATAAAACTCATCTTTATTGTAGTAATCCTTTTTGCTACCTAGGGTTAATGAAATTACTATATGCTTTGCCTTCCACTTGGGATGTTGTACTGGAAATGGCCAATTTTAGATTTGGGGGAGGGGTGGGGAAGAGAGTCAAGTTAAATATGCTATCTTCAAAAAAAAATATGCTTTATCTTCTAGCAAATAGCTTAGAGACACAGAAATGATTAAAATGTGATCCTGCCCTCAAGGAGTTCAATGTCCAGTGGTTATGTCAAGAAATATCTTAACATTCTATGTAATTATTAATGTACTTAGATTATTATTCATGCTTATTCGTATACATATGCAAGATATTTCGAGTAACTAATTATAAACATTACAATGATGCCTATTTATTATTTATTCTGTTGTTTAAAAAGGCAACCATGTACACTTGTTTCTTCAGCCTGAATTCAGAATGAGAGGTCACACAATAGTCAGACTGAGATTAAAAATTCAGCTTTAGGGGCTCCTGGGTGGCTCAGTCATTAAGCGTCTGCCTTCAGCTCAGGTTATGATCCCGGGGTCCTGGGATCAAGCCCCACGTCTGGCTCCTGGCTCAGCTGGGAGCCTGCTTCTCCCTCCCTCTCTGCCTCTCCCCCTGCTCATGCTCTCTCTCTCTCTGTATCTCTGTGTCTCAAATGAATAAATAAAATCTTAAAAAAAAAAAGTTCAGCTTTATTATTGATAAAAGCTAGTCTCGAAAATATAGGCTTAAGTCTATGGATAATCGGCATGTTAATATATTGTGCCTAAATTAGAAAGATTTGTTCACTCAGTTACTAGGGTAACAGTTACAACTATGGACCTCCCCAATTTGGGCACACCCCTGCAAACTCTTCATATAAAAAAGCAGAAAATGTAGGCTTTCTCTGGTCAGGCAGATCTCCAAAAAGAGAGGTATTACTAGGATGAGTCACACATGTTTAGTTTCTTCTCCCAAATTCATCAAACGGATCATTAACCCTTTGTCCCCCAGAGAGGAGTAAGTGGAGCCAGAGAAGGACTGTGTACTCTAAGGAAGTCCCCCCACCCCGCCCCAACCACAAGGAACCACCAGAAAGGGAATAAGTGATTTCCTTTAAAAGTCTTCAAGGCCAAACACTAAACCAGAGATGTCAAAGGAAGATGGCGGTTCAAATGAATTTTTGGTGCCTGCCCTTCCCTGCTCTAATTCAGCCCCTGTGCTGGGCCTCAGAGCTGCGAGGGCCTGGAGCAGGCAGGCAGGCCCTGGAGGGTCTGAGCATGGCTGCAGGCCCTCACTGTTGAGGTACAGCATAGCCGAGCAGAGCAAAGATGTTAAGGGCCCTACCTATATAAATGTTAACTGCAAAAAATCAGTGGGTTCCCTGGCTTCCAAGCAGCTACAGGAGAGCTGCTAAAACCTCTCTACCTCCGAAGGTGGGAGAATGTTAGCCTTGACTACTTGGGAGACCTGGGAGCAGAGAGGCAGCCTACGAGAGGCCCAGTGGAGAGCTAAAAACTTGCCTGCAGGTACTCTGCCAGCCCAAGAAAGGGGTACGACCGCTTAACTGGAGCAGAGCCCCAACAGAGAGGCAAAGGAAAATAACGCAGCGCCTAAGTGTTTTCCTCTCATACCCAGAGAGAGGAAAAACAAAAGAAGGCCAGAACAGTTGGCTCCTAATACAATGGAACAGCTAGTGGAGACAGATAACAATATGAAAAAAATAATAAGACACTTCAGAAGAATAAACTATGCCTCAGGAGACCTTCTGGAACTACAAGCTAGTATTTCAGACTAAAAATTCAGTGGATGAATTGAGGGGGATAATGGTTACTCTTGAGACTCAAATTTGGTAGCCTAGGAAATCGGGGAGAAGAAATACTACAAAACACTATTCAATGGGCACCTGGGTGGCTCAGTCAGTTAAGCATCTGCCAGGGTCCTGGGATCAAACCCCACACTGGCCTCCCTGCTCAGCAGGGAAGACTCCTTCTCCCTTCCCTCTGCCTGCTCCCCCTGCCTGTGCTCTCTCTTTCTCTGTCAAATAAATAAATAAATATTTTTTTTAAAAGTGTATAAAAAACACTATGCAAAAATACAAAGAAATGGAAAGCATAAGGAAAAAAGTAAGAGACTTGGGGACATATGGAGGGTTCATACAAAGAATGGAGTGCCAGAAGCACAGAAAGAAATGAATGGAGGGAAGTCAACAGTTAAGCAATAGCAGAGATTTCTCTTGCTGGGGATGTGGTTACAGTCAGAGAAGCAGAACCACTATTGGTGCTAGAGGACAAGGGGTATATCTTAGGGATTTGACCTTCCGTGATTGTGGGAGCCAGTGAAGAATGACATATCATACTGTTGCTTCTGTGTCTGGTTTTGGGGCTCAATGTCAGCAGCAAGGAGAGGACAGAAAATTGGATGTGAAACTGGAGACAGTGAAGACAAACTGGAATGTACACAAACTGAAACCCATGTCTAAACCCCAAGTGTCTAAGCTCAGTGGAGCAGGTCAGCTGCAGGATGAGCCAGGGCCCCTCACCACGGAGCAGTACACACCCTGGCCCAGGACTCCACTTGGCTCTCTCCCCACACCAGCACGATGAACCAGCAGATGGACGGCAATACGTGTGAGCGGCAGTGGGGCCTGACTCTAGCCCAGCCTTCTGGGTGTAACTGTGCTGCTGCCTCACTTCCACCTTCCAGATCCTGCAAACTTCTCTTGGGCCATAACCATACAGGGAAGGGGAATTTGGACCAGTGAAGCTAAGCTGATACAATGTAAGGCTCCTACGCTTTACAGTTCTGGCTAATGTGAAAAGAGAGAGGTGATGTGCACAAATTCTGACATGTACCCTTCAGTAGTGAGGACTTGCCTCTTTTCTTCTTCTCCATGCTGCCACACAGAATTTGGATGTTACAGACGGTGCCCCATCTCAGACCCTGAGGACTACCCGCAGTGCAAGGCGGGATGAAAAGCTGAAAGCAGTCTGAGACTCAGACAGCAGAGTCCTCACTCTAGTCCTCAATTACCAACCTGCACGCTTTCATGGGAGAGAAAACGCATGTCCATCTTGCTCAAACTACTATTATTTTGGGTTTCTGTTACACACAGGTAAATCCATAATCTAATACCCTACATCTCAATTATCTGTCAGAGTAAAATAAAAATAGTAACGGTTATGTAAGAATTCAGAAAATATATCACCTCTATACCCCAGTAAATAATAGAGTAATCAAAACAGAGACTTCGAGATGGAACCATGAATAAAAAGTGGTGGCCAGGGCGCCTGGGTGGCTCGGTTGGTTAAGCGACTGCCTTCAGCTCAGGTCATGATCCTGGAGTCCCGGGATCGAGTCCCGCATCGGGCTTCCTGCTCGGCGGGGAGTCTGCTTCTCCCTCTGACCCTCTTCCCTCTCGTGCTCTCTACCATTCTCTCTCTCTCTCAATAAATAAATAAAAATCTTAAAAAAAAAAAAAGTGGTGGCCAGCAGTGAAATTATTAGAAATGTATGCGTGTGCGGGTGGGGGAAGCACAACGGCAAGGACTCTTAAGATGGGAGAGATACACTTCAAGGGAAAACCTACAACAGTCTGAAATTCAAAATACTAAGCTATCTTATTAGCAAAATCTAGCAGTTGGGTACTCAGAGGTAAAACGTAAAAGCATTCTGAGTCTCATTGAGATGGAGGGGGAAAACAATAAGCCAGTAGAATCTTAGCGAAGGAAAAGTATTTGGGAACTCATTTTCCCGTAACAGTAGAGAAAGTGGCAGAAAAAGGAAGATAATTAGCAGTGGCGGGAGGAGAATACAGTAGTTTCCAAATCAAGGTTGGGGGGATGATGAATGAACTGGTCAAATCAGAAAAAGATAAGGAAAGTCGGGGGGGGGAACTGATACATAAAATAAAGATAAAGCATGATATAAGGAGGAATAAAATCAATCAGTTGTTATAATAAATATGAACAGCCTACATACTTCTATTAAGACAGAAACCATCATATTGAGTTAAAACCTGGCTATATGTGTTGTTTGTTTTAACAAAAAACACTTTAAAACAAAGTGATAAAGGTAAAAAAACAAAGTGAGACTCAAGGCAAATCCAACAAAAAGAAAGCATGAATCATAATATTAATACCAGATAAATTGAAATCTGGAGTTAAAAGGATAAATCAAGAAAGGGGGGTGATTATGCTGGGCTAAAGGGCACTTTTTTTTTAAGGAAATATAAGTAAAAACCTGTATGTACCAATAATACAACAGCAAAATATGCAAATTTAAAACAATTACAAAAAACTACTTAGTAAAAATACAGTTAAAGTGGAAGATTTTAGGGGCGTCTGGTGGCTCAGTCGGTTAAGCATCTGCCTTCGGCTCAGGTCATGGTCCCAACGTCCTGGGATCGAGCCCCGCATCGGGCTCCCTGCTCTGTGGGAAGCCTGCTTCTCCCTCTCCCACTCCCCCTGCTTGTGTTCCCTCTCTCGCTGTGTCTCTCTCTGTCAAATAAATAAATAAAATCTTTAAAAAAAAAAAAGTGGAAGATTTTAATACACATCTCTTATGTATCAAATTTATCGAATAGATAAAAAAAATAGCCATAAAGGTCTTGAATAATACATTCAATACACTTAATTTGATATAGTAAAACTTTTGACTACATGAAATACTCACAAAATTCATTATATTGGGGCCACAAAGAAACCTTAACACATTTTAAATAGATTTTACCAAACACGTATAAAAATATATGAATAAAATGAGCCCAACCATTAAATATTAAGAAAAACAGTGATAAATAACCCTTAGATCAAAGAAGAAATAAGCAAAATTTCACAACACCTAAAAAGCAATAAACAGGGAAACACTTTATCCTGATAACTGTGGGAAAAAGCCAAAACTGTACTAGAAAAAAATACAGTTTGAAATGACTTCATTATTAAAGACTAAATAATAAGATGGTTTTTAAAATGTTAGCTTCAAAAAATGATCATTATACAAACTGTATTTTCATACAGATTTAATTAGTGGATTTAGGATTTACTCACAGCTGCTTTTGCCTAGGATCCAGTAATGGGTTTAAAGCTTGCAACAACTTGTTTAAATTAAACATCCCAACATTGGCCTGATTTCCTATTTTATATCTTCTTTCATCATCAGATGTGTTTGGGACAAAATCTGTTTAAAATAAAAATATTAGCATTTTTTAGTGGAGATAATTGTAATAAATAGCCTCTCCCTTTCTAAGTTTATATTTAAACTTAATAAATTTATATTCACTAGATATGTTTACATTTATTAAATCTTTCTGACATTAAACATTTAACTAAAAAAGTAACATAAACACTTACTACCCATACACATGAAATTCTTTTTCAATATGAATATTTGCCTAATAGAGGAATACAACTCTAATATGTAAGAATTTTCAGGTGATCAGGGGCACCTGGGTGGCTCAGTTGGTTAAGCGTCTGCCTTCGGCTCAGGTCATGATCCCGGGGTCCTGGGATCGAGTCCTGCATCAGGTTCCCTGCTCAGCGGGGAGTCTGCTTCTCCCTCTCCTTCTCCCTCTGCTCCTCCCCCTGCTCATGCTCGCTCTCCCTCTCTCTCCCCCAACTAAATAAAATCTTTTAAAAAAAGAATATTCAGGTGATCATAAATGTACTTCAAACTCTACCTCAAGTATCACATCCTCCACAGAGCCCACTTGGATCCCTCCTTGTAAGGACTGTGTTACTATGGCCTCCATTTTACAGGTTGGTAAGGTGAGAAGTTAAGTAACTTGTCCAGGGAAGGGCACAGAGCCACTATGGCTCAGATGCCAGAAGTCAAACCTGCATCTCTCTCACACAGGTTCCCTACTACCCTCCCTGTCATCTTCTCTAATATGTGATTCCTTAAGGGCAAAGACCACAAAGGGCTCATTTTTGTATCCCTGTAGCACCTGGAACATTTAGTACCACATAAAATGACCATTTTATGAATGAACCCGATTCTTTCTACTACCCCATCACTGTATTAGCTATAACAATTTATCTAAAATAAACCTGTAATCACTTTTTAGTGAAATAAGATATATGTGTGTATATACATACATATTTACATATAAATCACACATACCTGGGTTATAGGCTTCCATAAAACCAAATGGGCCATAGTCGATTGTAATGGATAACAAACTGAAGTTATCGGTATTACAAACACCTAAAACCACAACAAAAAGATTCCAAAAATGTGGTAATAAAATAATAAGGCATTTTTTAAATGTATAAAATTATCCAGAATAGAAAAGGCAATGGAAATGCATTTGTTTTAGAAGTGAAACAAAATTAGATTATCAAGTGAAAGTTTAACTGGTGATGTCAAATAACTTAATAGATATCAAAACTACATCTTTTAACTAAATTTAGCCTTTCGTTTTATACCCCACCCCCACAAAGATTTCAAATAGTGCAGGAACAAAAGCGCCAAGAAATACAACTTCTTCTTACTTATCCTCCATTTCTTCCATTTGTTTTTAAAAATATAGGTTACTTGGGATGGAAATGAAACTAGTAAAGGAATAAAATGAATTCATTTCCAAAGGATGAGAAAAGGGGGAAATATGGATATGTTCCCCATTACAGTCCTCAGCTGCAGACCACTAGCAGACTGGGGAAGGAGTGTGCCCTCCCAGGCAAGGGGGCTAGGGCTGGCGGCCAGAGTGTGGGGTATGAGGAAGCCGGGGAACAGATACACCAGCCTAATACAGGGTATTTGGCAACTGTGTCCAATGTAGGGTTTCAACCTTTTTCAGAGCAAGATGGCCCTGTTTATCAAAATGTTAAATAGACAGACTCTCTAACCCAGCCATTCCACATTAGGGGTTTGTCCTCCAAAGTTACCTTCAGGAATATGAAGATACAGTTGCAAGGTAGTCGCTATGGTTCATAATAGCAAAAACTATGAAACACCTACCCCGCTCTCCCCCAACCCACCCCAAGAGAGATACACAGAATATGTGTGTGATAAGCAAGCGGATTTCAAGAAGTTTTGCAATGTGGGATTCCCTTTTGGTATTTATCTAGAGACATTAGAACATACATGATTTGTTTTTCAGTTATTCTTAGTTCAGGCAGATAGTCCTTCCTATGCAACTTCACACACTAAGTGGCTTCAAACACACAAGCCAGCCCTGCTTTTTTCATAGGAGGTGTACGAATATCATCTCCAAAAAGCCCAAAAGAATTGATATGAAATGGTTACTAATGATTACCCTGGAGAATGGAATTCACACTCACTTCTGTATACTTCCAATTCTTTTGTTTTTTTTACGATTTTTTTATTTATTTGAGAGAGAGAGTGAGCCAGAGAGAGAGAGAGAGAGAGAGAGCACACAAGCATGGGTGAGGGGAGGGGCAGAGGGAGAAATGGACTCCCCACCGAGCAGGGAGCCAGACGCAGGACTCGATCCCAGGACCCTGAGATCATGACCTGAGCCCGAGGCAGCCACTTAACCGACTGAGCCACCCAGGCACCCTATACTTACCATTCTTTACCATAAGCATGCAGTGCTTTTATAATTAAGATTTTATAAACAGCTTTAAAGAAACCTAAATATAATACATGTAGCCACAATGTTGAAAAATTTACAGGCTGGGGCACTTGGGTGGTTCAGTTGGTTAAGCATCCAACTCTGGAGTTTGACTCGGGTCTTGATCTTGGGATTGTGAAATCAAGTCCAGCTTCCGGAGTCAGGCTCTGCGCTCAGCCTGGAGTCTGCTTGTCCCTCTTCCCCCACCCCCGTCCCTCCCCCTGCTCACTCGTGCTCTCTCTAAAATCAATCAATCAAATCTTTTTTTAAAAAAGAAAGTTATGCAGGTAATAATATCCTCGTCAAATTGAGGATGCTTATTCTATTTTGTGTACACTGTTCCATTCAAAACCATTTTAAACACAAGAAAATTGTTTCTCTGTTGCTAAGAACAAATTCATATATCGTAAATGTTAAGAAGATCATCAGCGGGAATATTTTGAAGTACCCAAAAAAGAAGTCTTCTGGTTCAACAAATTAACTCTGCTTTCCCACCAGGAAAATGAAACATCAGTAGATGACTTACCATGAGCAAAACCAACAGACATCCACAAGGCAATGAGTTGTGCCGTCTTTGATACCACAATAGAGAAAAAATCCTAAAATAAAATTCAGAAATTTTTCAGATTTTCAGGAATGTATACTCTTTTAGGATCTTCTGCTAAGTCATAAGGCAAACATGGAAAGAATTCAGAATGCCAAAAGATGACTAAAGGAATGGAAATTAGCAGATGTACAGAAAAAATGGAAGAATGTAGAATTAGTCACCGAGAAATAATATGTAAAGGCTCAGACACAGTATAATGACCAGGCTTCCTCCATGTCCAGTAAGAACAGGAAGAGCATTAGAATTCAGCGCAAGTGAGGTAAATGTAAGCAAAGTGAGTTCTTAAACTTTGAAATGAGTCACCAAGAAAAATAATGGAATTCTCTTCTCTGCGGCCGCTAAGAGAACGAAAGAGGGTTATGAAGACCAAATCATTTCCACGGGAATAGAAAATCACATTTTCCTGTTACGTATTGTGTTTATTTTAAAATTACTACTATAGAAGTATCTATATTTCTCACACGTGAGAAAAGAATACGTAAGACCAAATTACACAACATGGGTGCAAAACATAACGTCTAGAATCAGGATGTAGTAGCACCTGTCCTTTTTCTCTGGATACCTTTCAAACAAAACAACTCTTACCTATGTCTTGTTTATGAATTGGTTCACCTTCTCCTCCTCTAACAAAATGTTCAAAGTGCTCTACATTTCCTTTCCTACCTTTAGTAAAGTTCTAAGTTGTAACCGCTGATGTTGGCGGGCCATGAGAGAAAACCGAGTATCGCTCTTTCTCTTTAAAAACTTACCACATATCTGTTAGGTTCTGTGACCTTCACTGAGGGGAAGTGCTCCCGTATGATGAAGTCTAATAATGTCCTGGAGAGAAGAAGGAGAGAGCATTAGCGTTCCTCAGTATCAAATCATCTAAATCTGCCCTTTACATCCAGGAAGCCATTAGATGCAAACTTAAAATTTTAAAAATTAAAGTAAGATTTTACTCTCAAAACAGCCACAGAGAAATACTTCCTCAATACCAGTCAAAACTGGAAATGTGTTTCTAAGACAGTATTAGACTCCACCATGTTATATTACAAATGCAGATTAGTTCAGTAAATACCCAGCACACACCTACTATATGCCCCATCAGGTGCCAAGTCCTGGGGGAAAGGATATGCCAAGACCCAGGCCCAGAGGACCCAAACCTCAAAGCACACAGAGCAGATCAGGGAGACGAACACAGGAAAAAATACTGACATTACAGTGTAACATATGCAATAACAGAACAATATAAAAGACACAAAGATAGCAGGGAACAATTATTTATGTCGGCAGGGTCACGTAAGACTTCACAAATAGGGGGTGGCAAAAAACTGCCCAATGCTTGAAGTTAAAGTACTTAAGTTGTCTGTGTATCATATTTTTTATTCCCTATTTTAACTGACTTGTCAACTAACTATAGTGTTGAATGCACTGGATAAGAAAGAAGCCAGAAAAAAATTGGGGGTTGTAGATGTGACTTGGGAATTATTAAAAGCCAGTCAAAACAAAAGGAGTGGATTAGAGCTTGTGTATATATGTATTTTTCTAGTCATTTAATAATTTAATCGTGAATAAGTGCTTATATGTCAAGAACTGTTGCAGGCATTTGGGAAACAAAAAGGAATATATACGTGGCTATGTGAGCCAATAGAGAGATTTTCAGGAGAAGGCGGTCACTAATATACATCAAATGCCAGAGAGCTAAGTGAACAATACGGAAGTATTACTACCAGATGGAACAGTTTCAGTGACACCATGAATCCAAGCAGAAGTGACCCCAAAAAACAAACAGAAGTTAGAAATAATGCCCTTTGAGTGTAGACAACTCTTCTCAACAAGCAAGATGACCATGAGCTCAGAGAACATTTGCTAAAGTAAGAGACTCAGAGACCACTCTGACCAGTGTGATGACTTCTCTACTCTGCTTACTCATTTCCCTCTTGTCTTCTCTCCCCGCATCCTTCACTGACTAGGTATCTGGACTTACTACGCTGATAACTACAATACAGGATCCACAACCCAAATGATTCTAGTTTGTCTAAGAGAATCTATGTGACTTTTTATGACTTTTTAAAACTGTATTATCTTAACAACAGGAAGCAAAATTCCTCTCAAAGGAGGAAATGTTTTTGCCTGAAGACACATCTCATAAGTGGGCTTGAGGAGGATGGAGCTGTGCAAGTAGAGACACTGCGGGCACCAAGACATCACAAAATGCTGGAAACTGTACTGCGTGGTGCAAGAGGAAGAATTCGTTGCTTTCGCTCTTTTGAAGTGATCCTCTGTCCTCCCTGCAGAAAAGTCTTCAGTAAGATACATTCTGTCCTGAGATGCTTTGTGTAAACTTTGCCTGTTTGTTTGTTTGCTTTTGTCCTAGTGAAGGGGCTGAGTTTCAAGTATGCGTCAACCCAGAGCAAACCAGGCATCTCACACCTGTCAAAACTACAGTCCAAGGAAGAAGAGACAGAGGAGAGAGAAGACACCCTGGGAATCCCAGAAGTTGGAAGGAGATCTTTGGGCCTCTGCAGGCTGGGGATTGGGGGGGGGGGGGGTTGAATTACTTCCACCCAGGGCTCTGAATGGCACAGAGGCCCTCAGCTGCAACTGGGTTGCATACTAGATTAAAAATTCCTTGAGCAAAGGGTCTACTGGGTCTCACACTTCTTTTGGCCTCCTAGAAAACCCACACATAGCAAGTGTTAAAAATATTTATTAATTGAAATATTTGGTTTTACTTATAAGAAAACCAAAAGTATTTTAACTTCACAGCACTTATATAAGCATTTAATTGTCTTCGATCATTTAAAAAAAAAGTCATTTTCTAACCTTAGTAAATCCAGTTCACCATAATGAGCCAAAATTTCTAATGATCCAATTCTAAACCATGATTTTGCAACACGCAGCACTATTGCACCTGAAAAACACACATTTTAGCACAAGTTATTTTAAACTGTGCAAATATAGCATAATAAGCTTTTCTGAGAATTTAAATTATTTTAGTAGAAAAACAATACAGGAACCCAATTTATCAGAAAAGCAACTAATTTATACTCTAGAAAGGATTGAGGATTTTTCTCTATTTCTTTAAGCCTTGAATCAGTTAGAATATCAGGAACCACAACACTTTCAGAAATACCAAGGCTCCAACCTCACTAAAGGCCGCTCAGTTAAACTGTCAGGATCCAAACATGGGGATTCCCACTGTCTCCTCTGTTGTGACCTTTTCCCTGTACCCTCACCCCAAAATAGGGAATTAGTAAATAATTTCCATGGCATAGTCCCTGCAAGTGCCTTCTCTCGGTGTAACTAATCGAAAATCAACGTCAATAAATGAACGTTTGCATATGTTCTAACTTATGCATACACAGATGAAACAAAGTGAATCTATGCATTTTTGTGTTAGTGTTTGCAGCCTTCTGTTGCCGCCTTCTGTTTTGACTACAGGCATTAGCAATACAATTAGTAAAGAGAATTTGTGTCTTTTTTTTCTCAAAAGGAATGCTGTACTTCCATGTGTCTAGATGTCAAGATGAAGTCTTCCCAGGCAACAAAGCCTCCTGCTCTGTTGGTGCTGCCCTTCGACATAATCCCACATTCACTGCTACCTCTGGGCCTCTGTGCTATTCCCTGCTCCACGCACATGCACACTCCTTCTTCTCCCCCGACTGCAATCCTTCCTAACCTCAAAGATAAATAACCCTTAACTCCTTTAAGCATGACTACTTTAGGGGGATTGTTTTTTATGAAAATCTTGTCAAAACATATTAGGTGCTAAGTATAAAGAATATAACTCGGTGGACACTCGGTGAATCACCGTGAACATCAGTAAAAATGCTGCCCCCGTCATACAGTGATGTCCGCAGGACCCAACAGAGCAGGTAAGGCTTTGCTTTCTAAACTGTTGAATAAGATTATTATTAGGGCACCTGGCTGGCATAGTTGGTAGAGCATGTGACTCTTGATCTCAGGGCAGTGAGGGCAAGCCCCACACTGGTGTAGAGCTTACTCAAAATCAATCAATCAATCAGTCAATCACTTATTATTGATTTTCAGGTCTCTTCTCTCCCCAGAGATTCAAGGTCAAGTTTCTCTCACTGTTTCTTTTGCTGCTCTGCAGCACACTTCTGACCCCTTCCTGATTTTTTTTATTTCTGGCCTACTAAAGCCTGAGGAAGAAGTTAACTGAACCGACTGGAAGCATGCATGAAGTAAGAGCAGTCAGGCTCTGAGGAAAGGTCTGAGGGTCTCTCCTCAGAAGAAAGAGCATGAACTTTCATGTCCTGGTTTTGTAACATTTTGCTGGTCCACAAAGATGTCCAGGATTTGTTACTCTTTAAGAACTCAGCCGAATTTTATGTAAATATTCTAAAAATTATCATTACCTCTTTCTTTCACAATGTTTCCATTGTAGAACTGATCTCTCCATACTTCATCATCGCTCACAACCAGACTGAAACATAAGAGAATCCAACAAAGTTACATGTTAACTGCTAGCAAGCTACCAAGAAGTACCTAAAACCGTAAGAAATGGTGAGAAATCATGCTACCAGAGATTTATTGGCTCAATTTACCAACACATGCCTGCAGAAAACATGATGCGGTCCTGAAAGTTAGCTTCAAGGAAAAAGGAATTACCTTGCAGCTCTGCTAGTTGGAATTCCAAGAGAGTGCATAGCCTCGCTGCATAAAAATTCTCTCACTGAGGAACGAAGTACAGCTCTGCCATCACCATTTCTAGGGCAAAACGAGAAAAAACATTTTCAGTTGTAATGAAGACAACATTAATTTTTATTTAGGTGACCAAAAAAATATCAAACTGTACCGGGAGTATGGAGTCTTTCCTGAGCCCTTTAATTGGAGCTCCCACTTTTCACCCTGCCTTCAACAACAACAAAGAAATCTAAGGATCAGAAGATCCGTGTTAATATTTAGCAGAAAAGCTATTGTACCAGAAAACATGTGGTACCTGTTCATGTAAATTCCAAGAAGATGGGCTCTTCCGTCCCCAAGCTGACCTGCCCATATCCCAAACTAAAGGAGAAAAAGGAAAATTATTCATGCTTATTACCCTTTAAAGCTTTCATAGTAATTTTACAGCCAAAGTTATTTTGTAAAAATTGAGAATGGGGTATTGCATTTTTAGGATTATAATAATCAACAACTTGAACAAAGGTGAAAATAAAATTCAATCAATAAGACATAAGTGAAATTCATTTTAAAAAATATAAATTTGAGACATATAATTAAATTCATCATCTTACAGCTGAGCTAAACTCTGTTAGGTGTAGAATACTTAGAACTGATCTATTGATCTATTTAATTCCAGAATATGAACTAGGAACAACTTATTTATAGAAAGTTTGCCTATAGTATATGTATGCATTGTAAAATCAAGAACATACTTGTAACTGAAAAAACTTGCTTTTGAACTTGCACAGTTAGCTGTTTCCAACATTTTCTGTTTGCGGTTGCCCAACTCCCAGTTATACCACTTACTAGCTATGGAAATTTGAATTACTTAATCCCATTGAGACTGACCTTTCATTTCTGTAAAATGAGATAACCCTTGCCAGGTTGTTATAAGAATGAATGCTAATGGATGCTCTGTCCTATGTCCGACACATGCAAGAGCTCCTAAGATGGTAATAATTATCATTACCAACAGTGATTTGCTAACTTAGACATCACTCCATTTTCCACATGCATGTTACTTCCACCAGAAGGTTGTCTCTGACTTTCTGGGACTAGGAGGGTTCTGTGAATTCCCATGACTCCTACTCTTAACCCTATCACGATGCTGATGTTATTAGAATTCACTTCTTTATCTCCTCCCCTAGGGTATTAGCAATCTATAGTTCCTGGCACATAAAAGGGGTTCTATAAATAGGTGTGGAATATTTAAACTATGTTTATAGTTCTGATAGAAAAACATGAATTTGAGAAAAATCTATCCAGTATTTTAATTTTTCATCTTAACAAGGAACAGATCACCATTAATTTTAGCTTTATGATACCTCGAAGAGCACAAATCTGAAAGGTGCTCTTAGCATATTCTGGCAATTTCTAAAGTCAACAATACATTAGGTATATCCCACACCATGAAAAAGAAGTAGAAAGAATAGTAACTCCAGAGCTAGGAGTGAAGTCCAGGGAACTAAGAAGGTAGCTCTCTATTAATAAAGGAGAAATCATTTAGTGTTCAAAATGGCAAAGCCATCCTTATAAATCTTTATAATTTCAAATCAGAGAGAAGCAAGAGATGAAACGTGAAATTGATGAGAAAAATCTAGTTTACTATGCTACCCCAAAAAAAAAATCCTACAAAAAAATACAGCTTAACAAAACTCTGCAGGGCTTAAGGTCTGCATTTGTACTCTAACAGTACATGTTGAGTACTGGTACAAAATGCTATCTAATAAATTTAACCTATGTGGGAAATGGCTTTTTGAACTATGGAATCCCTATATTTGGGAGCTAAAAAAAAAAAAATAAGGATCATCTAGTCCAGAAGTTTCAAAATTGAGAAACATAGTTCGGCAAAATGTTATTTTTCCTTAAAAACAAAATACAACAAAACCCTATAGTCAAGTATGTTGGGAAAATGGGGTGTTAAATAAAATTAAGCGGATTTCTTTGCCACAGCCCTTCTCACAACTCCTGGAATGGACCTGGTCAACCCTTGCACCTTACGGATCAAGACACTGAGGTTCGAGTTTGTCATAGATGACCCCTGAAGTCTTTTTCCATCCTAATGGTCTATGTCACTTTGCTTCTCGGCTTATGTCAGTTTAGCTTCTATGACAGTTTTGCCTCTTAGGATATTGAGGAATGAAAGCAACAAAAATCTAAAAGGAATTAACTGCCCCCAACAAACCAGAGCCTGATATTATCATTATTATAATAGCTATCATGGAAGCACTTTTTACTTTTCATATTTTCTAACTTAATCCTTACTCCAACCCTATTATGCTTCTCTACTTTTCCTAAAATATATTCCGAATTCAGCCAGCCCCCGGACAGCCAGACTGTTAATCTTATCTAGTTCACAGCAAGTTCAACAACTGGTCCTGTGTTCCTTCTCTTTCTCCTTTTTTTTTTTTTTTAATTTAGTCAGATATCACAACCTGAACTTGCTTCAATATCTTAACTTCATTTCTAGAAGTCGCTTTCCTAATTGCTTCAGCATAAATAACATCCTCAGTTAATCCTGATTAAATTCTAGCAGTCTCTAGCAGTTCTAAAACTTCCTTCTGCAGGTATCCTGGCAAAACTATAATCTCTTTATCCTTCTGGGGCTTTTATATTGACTTTTTGTGCTACTTGACTTTGCCTACATCTCTTGCCTGAAACGTCCCTGAATGAGTTCTCTAGCAATAATTCACAGAAATATTATATTAGTGCTATCCCAGTTTTCCTGATTCTGTCAAAGAAAGTTGGGCATTAGCTTTATCACAGCAAGAAATCACATCAGCCAATTACAAACATCTTACGATGACACATTCTTCTAGAAGCATCTGTTGAAGTCTCCATACACTAATATTAGAAGAATTAATGCAAAATAACTTCATTAATGGGACAGCCTTTCCACCAACTGTTTATATTTACGTAAGGGAAGTCGTAGCGGATGCTATGATGCTGTCATACCTGGTGCCCACCATATCTGTGAGCCAATGGAATGGATCCAAATACTATCTTTTCACCACTCACAAGCTGGATAAAATCATCTGTTTCGGAGACAGATAAGTCAAGGTCCAAAATATCTTCTAGAACTTCCTGACGCAGGAAAAAAACAAAAACAAAAAGACCTTACAAACTGAAGTAATCCTTTAATAATTTTAGAGAAAAGAGACTTGGTGGAAGAAAGAAAATTAAAAGAATGAACCTCTTCAAAAAGTACATTAATATTTTCTCATGAGGGATGTACCATAGTTTATATTATTTATGCTATTTGGGAAAATCAGTTCTATTAGATAGTTTTAAAATTTTTATTTAATTCTTGTGATGCATAGTTAAATACTATTTTTCTTAGCACACATTCTTTACAGGAACTAGAAAAAAGTTAATGTCCTATTTCTATCACAAATCCAATTATATCATGAGAGAACAATTTATAATTTATTAGAGCCCATTTCTAAGAATTTAACTCATTTGCCCCTTTTTTCAAAAAGGGGTGTTTTCTTTGTAAGATAACTTTAAGATCAAACGGAGTACTAGGCTGAGTATCAAAACTAGGAATCAGTATCAAAACATGATTTCTAAGAATGACATTCTCCAAGTGTCTGAATTTTAAACACAAATATAATCATTTACCAATAGACTAACAATTCAACTCCAAAAAGTATGAATATCTTTTTTTTAGACAAAAGTTATAATGAATTAAGTATTTTTGTTGTGAAAAAATAAAGCCTAACCTTTGAAACTGCTACAAGACGTACTCTTGATTTGAAAGGAGTAGGGAAGGCAATTGAAAAAATACAGTTTTTCACTTTACGAACATAATTTTCTTTAACAGGATCAACTGGCAACACGGCTGATTAAAAAAAAAAAAAAACAACAAAATCTCTTCTTAGTGTTTTCATTTGTCTCATAGACAACATTAACATTCCTCAGGACTACAGTTCTTCGAGAAAATCAATTTATACCACTGTTTTCTTCCTACTTCGTTATTTAAAGCCTATTTTGTCATTTTCAACCATATCTATCCAATATTCATGTAATACAGTAAATGGAGCCACCCAAGAAGATGGGAGATGGAAAAAGTTTAAAACAAGATACATACCCTGTCTTTGAGGATTTCACTTGTGGGAGACCAACAGGATACACAATATGTTTATAAATAAGGATGTATAAATGAAGTGGAGGTGAGCAGCATTATAGTTTTAGAATTACAGTACTAGCCAATTCAGTGGAATCCAACCAAAAAATATTAGGCAGTTAATCACATTCTTTCTGCCCTTCAGAAAATCATAATTACTCAAAGAAACAGATACATATAAAAAACCCTAATACCACGCAACAGATGTTTTACTAAATGTACAAAGCATGCACTAAAGCACATGTACCTTATTTTAAAAGCTGCACGAAAAGAGTTCTGAACATGCTTTAGATACTCAGAACGTATTTTCTTTTAAGTACAATTTAAAAAATCTTAATCTGTTTTCCTAATCCAAACCAATTAAAACAAAAAACAAACAGAAGAGGGTAGGTGTATTACTAAAATCACAAAACAAGGGGACACAAAAACTTGTTTTTGGATAGAGATTATATTGTCAAGATATCAGTGTAACCAGATTATTTAATAAACATATGGAAACCCAACCAACATCCTAGCAGGATTTTTTTGAAGAAAAAGATCGTCTTAGGGCGCCTGGGTGGCTCAGTTGGTTAAGCGTCTGCCTTCAGCTCAGGTCCTGGGGTCGGGTTCCCTGCTCAGTGGGGAACCTGCTTCTCCCTCTCGCTCTGCTGTTCCCCCTGCTTGTGAGTTCTCTCTTTCTCAAATAAATAAAATCTTAAAAAAACAACAACTGATCAGCTTAAAGTGTAAATCTTGAAAAATAAAAACTAATGTTTTAGAAATGGGAGTTTTCTTATAAATTATAAGAACACAATAACTAAAAATAGTTATCCCCAAAATAGATGCAAAGAACAAAGGGACTCAATAAAAAGAACAGAAATAGCCCAAAGTAATGTTAAGAATTCTCTATATAATGAAAATGATATTTTGAATCAGTAGGGAAACGTGGCATCAAGATACATCAAGATCCAACTGTTCGGATTAACTTCTATTTATCCCACTCAAGCCTAGGTGAACCAAATGTCAGTTATAACAGAAATAAGAGGAATCTTCTATCTTTCCCAGATGAGTATAAAAACAGGCAAATGTGGACCAGATTTAACCTTTATATTTTCCCCTAAATACATGGTACATAAGGCACATTATGGGGAACAAAATGGGTAGTCAGCCAAAAAACAGCTGATTTCAGCATTCACCACAGAAAACCTGACAATATGATTAAAAGTAGAAGATCCCACAGTGTATTTTCTTCTCTTTTAGGAGAGCCATTATATGGAAATAGATTAAATTATAATTTGTGCACTTATCATGATGCCCTAACATTTTAGTAGCACACAGACAGTATTTACTGTTCATTAATACCCATGATTTTGTACTGACTGACTCACATTTTGGCAAGGTAGTTTATCAGCCAATACATTTAATCATTGGCTGTGGAACAAGAGGCCAACTGCTTCAGAAGTCCCCAGCCCTCACCCTCGTTACACTTTAACCAAATGATCAGTCATAAACTACAAACCCAAACCAAGACAAAATTCCAGATGCATAGTAAGTCTTTATCTTAACATCTCAGAGAAATCAGTCATTCCAAAATTAAATTCTGTAGCATTCAGCTTTGCCTAAGAATATGAAATCCACAAAACCCGCGAATCTTTCAGTTTGATGATGCCTGAACCTCTTCTCTCAATAAACGTTCTTACTACAGTGACCTTGGTAATTTTATTGATCATTTATCTGATAACATCAGGATGAGACGTTTTCAGGCAGTACTATGGATCAAGACATGGTATACAATCTATACATAGTATCATGTATATAATCTCTCCTTGGCTATAAAACCTGGTCCTACCAGCATGTTTTGAACAGTATCACTATGGAAAGAAAATGTCTTATTAAAGTACAGTCAACTCTCCAACATTGAAATAACAACTTTGAAAATGCTTTCAATTACACACTTATTCCATGTTTATCAGTCATTACTGGTCGCTTCATTCATAAAAGTAGTCAAAATGACCCAAGTTGTTCCTAGCCTGTGCAGAGAGGGGTCTGTTCTTTGGCAGTTACTTGCACAGCTCAATGGTTTTAACTTCCTAGACACAGGCTTGGCCTCTTTGGCTCGGGAGAGACGGCTCGCCCAGACAGAAGGTCCCGCTTGGTCGCTCCCGGTACCGGAGCCGGCAGCGGGGCGACGGGCGGCTCCCGCGAGCTCGGGGTAGGCGAGGGGGCGAGCGCCCGAGGTTCGGCGCGACCGTCCCGGGATGCATGTATTCTGCAACCTATTGGTAGGTTATATAGCTCATCAAAGGTGTAGCTATACTATAATTTTGGAAACCTTCACAAAGTTTATCTGCTTTCCCTACTTAGCCTTGCATAAATTCCATCTTTTTAAGAGCGAGGTGTTTTGTTTTAATCAGGGAAAACTATCTCTAAATGAAAATGGCCTGGTAGATAGAGCCGTATCTGCCAACTGTGAGCTTGGCAAGACATGCAAATCCTCCTGTGTCCCTATCTGTGAAAAGGGGCAAATGATAATACCTAAGTTGTAGGATTATTGTAAATACAAGTGCTTATTGCTACACTTTACCATGGCAAAGTCTAGCTGTGGCGTATTTCTTAATATACAAGCCTGTATCAAGCCACAGATGTGTACTAACAACCTTTATTTGTAAAGCGCCTGACATTTTTTTTTACATCATATTCCTCAAGATTGGGGAAAAAATCCTAAACTTGGCTTATTTTAGCCAACCTTATTCTATGCTCTTATTCCGTAAAAAAACAACACTTTGAAGATAAATATAAAAATAATGTGCCCAGCTATACCACGGGTACTTTCACTTTTTAAATGCAAAAAGCATGGTTCAAAAGAACAGACAAAAATTTTAGAGAATTGTAGTTGCCTATTTGCTGGTCTATTTCCTCATAAAGGTGAATTTTTTGAGGACAGATGAAGCTTCTTTCATTTCTGTATCCCTAACGCCTACACTTTCTCTCCCTGGCTCTGTTTGTGTGCACCACGGACTGCTGTTATAAGTACGCTTTCTCATTACCATGAGAAGAGTATATCTGGCCATAGAACCAAGGAGAGGTCTTTCTAACCCACGTCAGGTACTAATCCTGTACATAATTCCAGTATCCCCAAGGCTGGCAAATATGTCCAACATTACCAAATACTAAACAATTTCACACAGCTAAGTACACCCACGAGTGGGACTCCCATCTAGATATGAGCAAGACTGCCAAACTATGCCACGATGTACCTTTAAGGTTTTCGGAGGACAGAGTCCAAAAGTCGAGAGACAAGGCTAATTTAGCTTCTGTCTCACAAAAGCCCAGCTCGTGGTGCGACACGTTACTGGAAAGATGCCAAAGGCGGGCACTTCCTTCCAGGCCAGGGAGCAAGGAGCAGCGGACAACGGCGTGGCAGGTCACGCCCAAGAGAAACAGCGGCGGACAGCGGAGCCCCCGGGTTCGGCAGCAAAACAGGAGCCCAATTCTTTGAGTCATCTCTCTGCCTAAACACGCAGAACAGAAGAGCTGCCGACTGGAGGTCTGGGCGCGGTGGCAGTTCTTGTTACCGGCCGCTCTCCCAAAGGTCCATTTTTGCTATGACCGCTGGAGCTCCTGGCTCCCCGGAGCGGCGGGCAGGGGCTCGGGAGAGACGGCTCGCCCAGACAGAAGGTCCCGCTTGGTCGCTCCCGGTACTGGAGCCGGCAGCGGGGCGACGGGCGGCTCCCGGGAGCTCGGGGCAGGCGAGGGGGCGAGCGCCCGAGGTTCCACGCGGCCGTCCCGGGAGCGCGCCTTCCGGCGCCAGCCCCGGGAGAAGCGGGAAGCGGCGGCCCGCGTGGGGCCCAAGCTCTTCCTGTGCCAAGTTTCCGGCTCCGGGTCCCGGGAGGCGGACCGCCGGGCCACAGGCGGAGCCAGCGCCCCGCCGCGGCTTTCAGACTCTGACCATGGCCTCAGGCGGGTGGCCCTGGCGGCGCTGCTGCTCCTGGAGGCCGGCGGCCCGGAGCCCCGGGCCCGGCTCCCCCGGCCGCGCGGGGCCGCCCCGGACGCCCTCGGCTGCAGACGCGGGCGCTCAGGTGAGGCCCCGAGGCGCGCGCGGCGGCCGGGCGCAGAGGTCACGGCGCCAATGACAGCGGCGCGGCAGAAATGAATGGGAGCTAGCGGCACGTGCGTCGGGGCTGGGGGCCGCGGGGCTGCGCTGCGGGGGGACCCCGGGCTGGCTGGGCGCCGGGACCCGAGCCCCGCCGGGGGACGTGGAGCGGTGGGCGCCGGGCGTCTCTGCCTGAAGCAGGGGTGCCCGGCGCGAGACTGCAGAACGTGGTCCCGGGGACCCGGACGCCTCGGGGCCTGGGGAGGGAGCGGTGAGGAGCCAGGCCTTGGGGGCAGGCGGGGGGGGCGGCGGGGTAGTCAGGTTGTCTCCTGGGGTAGGGAGCCAGTGAAGCCTGGAGACCCGACTGCACCCGTTTCCTTTCGGATTTCAGCCAGGGCTTCAGGAGGACAGGTCTTAATTAGGATTTTAGAGCAAAAGGTGCCCCTTGAGATCCAGGTGGGCTCGGAATAGGCGGTTTGTGGAGAGTATGTAGGGCTAATGCCCTGGGTGCACCGCATTTCTGTCTCTGTCGTACAGTAGTTGCTTCCCCGGGAGACCCAACCCGGACGGGGTGGGAGGGCACTGGAAGAAAAGGCCTGAGGATGTCACAAGTAGAGAAACATTGAACTTTGATGTGACTTCTTGAGTTGAGTCAGAATCTCAGCACTAACCGTGACTACTTGACTCTCTCCTGTACAGCTCTTGGGCCCGACCTCATTTTTCTCCCTTTCCGGCCAGTTTAGCCTCTGTAAAGTGACATGTTCTGTGGCTCCATTAGTCTTTTTTTAATTTTTTTTTAAGATTTTTATTTATTTATTCATGAGAGACAGAGGGAGAGAGAGAGAAGCAGAGGGAGAAGCAGGCTCCCAAGGAGCAGGGAGCCCGATGCGGGACTCGATCCCAGGACTCTGGGATCATGACCTGAGCCGAAGGCAGACGCTTAACCATCTGAGCCACCCAGGCGCCCTGGCTCCATAAGTCTTAACTGCACTTTGTAGTGATTGATTCTCAAAGTGCTATAGGGTAGCACTGTTTGGGATAATTGAGCAAAATCTGTAGATTCACTGTCCTTTTTAGAGACTTCTCCAGTCACATAGCAATTATGATGTGTTCCCCTTTCATCCACAAGACTCAGGGTTTTTTGCTTTGTTTTGTTTTGTTTTGTTTTAAGTTTATTGAATTTAGGACTCTTCTATTTCAGTTGGCTTTGGGACACTTCATATTCCCATGTATTCCTCAAACATCAGTTACCTATATGAAATATGTAGCTTTTATAAATGTATACTTTGTACCAAGGTGGATACATATCACAACTTATCCAGAACAGGCACCTGGAGAGAGAATAGCAGCAGGGCCAGCAAACAGCTAGTAAAAAGAGAATATGGGCGAAGAGTCTCAGGACTTTGCTGGGATCCATTTCAGTACTGTTCTAACCAGACTTCAATATTTCTAGCATCACAGATGAAGGCATTATTTGGAGAGATGTTTGCACCCTCCATCTAATAGCACTGGATACTTTTTTGACACTCCTTTTTTAAAATGTATTTAAATTCCAGTATAGGGGCACCTGGGTGGCTCGGTCGTTAAGCGCCTGCCTTCTGCTCAGGTCATGATCCCAGAGTCCTGGGATCGAGCCCCGCATCGGGCTTCTTGCTCGGCAGGAAGCCTGCTTCTCCCTCTGCTGCTCCCCCTGCTTGTGCTCGCTCACGCATGCTCTCTCCTTCTCTGTCTCAAATAAATAAATAAAATCTTTTAAAAAATAAATACATTCCAGTATAATTAATGCACAGTATTATGTTAGTTTCAGGTGGGCAATGTACTGATTTGAAAATTCCATAGGGATAAGTGTACTCTTGATCCCCTTCACCTGTTTCCCCCACGGACCTCCCCTCTGGTAACCATCAGTTTGTTCTCTAGTTAAGAACCTGTCTTCTGGTTTGTCTCTTTTTTCTATGTTCATTTGTTTTTTAAATTCCACATGTGAGTGAAATCATTTCTCTTCATGACTCATTTCAGTTAGTGTTATACTCTCGCTCCATCCGTGTTGTTGCAAATGGCAAGGTTTCATTCTTTTAATAGATGAGTAATATCCTATTGTATATATACCACATCTTCTTTATCCATTTACCTATCAATGGAAACTTGAGTTACTTCGATATTTTAGCTATTGTAAATAACACTGCAATAAACATAGGGGTGCATATATCTTTTCAAATTCGTGTTTTCGTACTTTCTGGGTAAATACCCACTGGTGGAATTACTGGATCATATGGTAATTCTGTTTAATTATTTTGAGGAAACTCCATACTATTTTCCACAGGCTGCATCAGTTTGCATTCCAACAGTAAACGAGTATTCCTTTTTCTCCACATCCTCAGCACTTGCTTCTTGTGGTTTTGATTTTAGCCATTCTGACAGATGTGAGGTGATATCTCGTTCTGATTTTAATTTGCATTTCTGTAATGATTAGTGAGGTTGAGCATCTTTTCATGTGTCTGTTGACCATCTGTATGTCTTTGGAGAAATGTCTGTTCATGTCTTCTGCCCATTTTTAATTGGATTATCTGTTTTTTTGGTGTTGAGTTGTATGAGTTCTTTATATATTTTGGCTACTAACCCCTTATATATGATCCGTAAAGATCTTCTGGTCAGTAGGTTATCTTTTCATTTTGTTGATTGTTTGCTGTACAGAAGCTTTTTATTTTGATACAGTCCTGACACTCCTTTTTTTTTTTTTTTTTTTTTTTTTTTGATGACGTGCCCACTGAACAACTTTTCCAGCCACAGAAAGGGTGCTTTCCTGGAGAGAATGTGTTCAGTGTTTTCCATGTCTGCTTTCAGGACCACAGGGTGGTACTACACTGATGATGCCAATGCCATATATTGCTGATTCATGTGTCATCACTATTTTCACTATAAATGAAGACATTGGCCTTCTGGTGTCTACCTCAGGCATGTGTCTTTGGTTACTTCAAGTCTCTTAAGCCCTGATAATCCTAACAAAGAGCAACAATGATAAAAGCCACGTCTGCCCTCAGACGCAGCTCTGTTTCCTGATATATGTACATTCTCCCAACTTCACCTGTGGTAGCATTAACAAATCCTGCAATAGGACAGAAACCGGTGTGCATCTGTTACTGCCAAATCACTTGTCAGTTTTTGATTCTTACTCAGCATTTTTTTTTTTTTTTAAGTAAATTCATGGGGGCGCCTGGGTGGCTCAGTCAGTTAAGCGTCTGCCTTTGGCTCAGGTCCTGATCGAGCCCCACATCGGGCTCCCTGCTCCGCGGGAAGCCTGCTTCTCCCTCTCCCACTCCCCCTGCTGTGTTCCCCTCTCGCTGTGTATCTCTCTGTCAGATAAATAAAATCTTTAAAAAAAATTAAAATCAATTCAATTTAGTTTACATATAGTGTATTATTAGTTTCAGGGGTAGCATTTACTGGCTCATCAGTTGCATATAACACCCAGTGCTCATTACATGAAGTGGCCTCCTTAATGCCCATCACCCAGTTACCCCATCACCTGGTTACCCCATCTTCCCACCCAACTTCCCTCCAGCAACCCTCAGTTTGTTTCCTATAGTAAGAGTCTCTTATGGTTTGCCTTCCTTTTCATCTTATTTTAGTTTTCCTTCCCTTCCCGTGTATTCATCTGTTATGTTTCTTAAATTCCACATATGAGTGAAATCATATGGTATTTGTCTTTCTCTGACTGACTTATTTCACTTAACATAATACATTATAGTTCATCCATGTTGATGCAAATGGCAAGATTTCTTTTTGATGGCTGAGTAATATTCTGGTGTGTGTGTATATTCTATTTAAGTATCCATTCATCTGTTGATGGACATCTGGGCTCTTTCCATATTTTGGCTATTGTGGACATTGCTGCTATAAACATTAGGGTGCATGTGCCCCTTCAAATCACAATTTTTGTATCCTTTGGATAAATGCCTAGTAGTGCAATTGCTGGGTCATAGGGTAGAACTACCTTAGCTATGTAATTTTAACTCTTTACCCCAGGCTAGAGGTTAGGTCTCAAACTAACTACTACAATGAATTACTGAATTCATATGAACTAATTACCCATGAAGCTGGAAGAAGGAGGCTAAATGTCATATAATGGTAAAATTAAAAGAGAGGATTATCACCTGGCTTTCTTGGGACATTATAAATGTTCTTACTGGTTTAATGAATATATAATGCTATGGTGGAAAGCCTAGAAGTCAGCCAGTCTTCCTTGGCCACTGCCTGCCTGGCAAAGTCAACCTTTACTCTCATTTTAATATGTCTAAAGCAATATGTGTTCACTAGAGAATCAGAAAATAGAAACCAAAAAATGAATAAAACAAAACCTATTTGTTAAAAAATAAATAACTACTTTTAATACCCTAGTTTATATGCTTTTAAACCCTATTCTCTGTGATTTTATTTGTGCATGTATGTATGTGTAAGTTTTTAGTGGGATCACAGAACATGTATGGTTTTGTAACTGCTTTTTTCTTTTGTTTTATTTTTAAAAGATTTTATTTATTTACTTAGAGTGTCTGCATGTGCCTGAGCAAGGGGAGGGGCAGAGGGAGAGGGAGAGAATGAATCCCAAGTAGACTCTGCGCTGAGCACAGAGGCTCTATCCCACAACCCTGATATCATGACCTGAGCTGTAATCAAGATTCAGACCCTCAACCAACTGAGCCACCTAGGTGCCCCCCTTACATTTTTCTTTTGATGTATTGTCAATGTATCTGTATATCAGTTTTCAGACTTGACTTTTCTGAATTTCAAGTTCCCCAGCTGTATAAAAACAAGTAGTTTGTGAGGGTCAAATAGCGTAAAAGCATGTTGTAAGACTTTATTACAAATAGAGTGGATTCGTTTTATTTTTCTTGTGTTAAATTCATCCTTTTTGTCAAAACACTTTCTTCAGGGCCATCTGGGTGGCTCAGTTGGTTGGCTGACTTTGGCTCAGTTCATGATCCCAGGGTCCTGGGATCAAGTCCCCCAGCCCCATGAGTCCCCCAGCCCCCAACGGGCTCTCTGCTCAGCAGGGAGCCCGCTTCTCCCTCTTCCTGCTCCCCCCTGCATGCGCACTCTCTTGCACTCTCTCTCTCTTTCTCTGACAAATAAATAAAATCTTAAAAAAAAAAAAACCCTTCTTCAAATACAGAGCCCTTACCACATTAAATTAGTAAATCAGTGATTTTTTTTTTTAAGTAACCTCTATGCCCAAGGTCAGGCTCCAACTCATGATCCCTGAGATCTAGAGTCGCATGCTTCACGGACTGAGCCAGCCAGGGGCCCCATAAGTTAGTAATTTTTGAAATGACTATGTCCCTGCATTCTTTAAGACTGGTGGTCTGTATCTTTGGGCCACAGTGCCTGTCACATTTCCTGGCCCATGGTAGTCCTCAATAATCTTTGGAACTAGTATTTCTCTCCACCACCTCTGAATCTTTCAGTGATCTTCTGTTGTTCTTTTTTTTTTTTTTAAGATTTTATTTATTTGAGAGAGAGAGAGAGAATGAGAGATAGAGAGCACAAGAGGGAAGAGGGTCAGAGGGAGAAGCAGACTCCCTGCCGAGCAGGGAGCCCGATGTGGGACTCGATCCCGGGACTCCAGGATCATGACCTGAGCCGAAGACAGTCACTTAACCAACTGAGCCACCCAGGTGCCCCACTTCTGTTGTTCTTGATCTCTAATATTCTCAAAACATGCCACTGAGCTTGCTTGTTTTTTAATATTGCTGATCAAGAAGTAGCTTTTTCCAAGTATGTTTAGGAAAAATAATTTAAAATAGGTAGTGTTCATGTATAATGTAAAATCATTCGTCAACATTGAAATCTTCTTCCTTTTCACTCTCTGTTCTGATGCTTGGGGGAGCTTGATTACTCTTTGTTTTCAACTCGTTTAAGAATGTAAAAGGATGTAAATAACACTGATCTTTACTATTCTCTGACTAATCTTAGTTAAGTGGAAGGAAATTGTTTTAAAAACTACCTTTTCAGGTCTGGAAAGCTAGATAGGAATATGGAAACTAGCCTTTGGAGAAAAGGATAGATTACAGATGTGGTTTTTTTCCTTATGTTTTTCTTTTTTTAAATTTTTAAATTTTTAAATTTTTTAAATTTTTTTAGATTTTATTTATTTATTTGACAGAGAGAGCACAAGTAGACAGAGTGGCAGGCAGAGGGAGAGGGAGAAGCAGGCTCCCCACCAAGCAGGGAGCCTGATGCGGGACTCGATCCCAGGACCCCGGGATCATGACCTGAGCTGAAGGCAGACGCTTAACCGACTGAGCCACCCAGGCGCCCTTCCTTATATTTTCTGTAATGATAAATGTTGCTTTTGTAATAAGGAAATTTTTTATTATCTTCCTGAAGTTTGCAATCTACCTACAAAGGGACAACTAAAAGATAAAGATTATAAAGAAAGATAAAGATGATATTTATTATGAATTCTATGATTATTATGAATGTTTTTATGTATCTGGCATTATAAACACATTTTTCATAAATATTCTTACAGATTTGTTAATACTTTTATTTTATAGATGTCCTATTTTAATCTTGTGAAGAGTTTAACATCTGCTTTTCCACATAGGTATAGTATGTCACGGTAAGTTTATGATCTGTGTTATAACTGCTAAAATTATTAGCCATATTGCCAGTAAATTTCTATTCTGAATTGTGGTGGGCTAGTCCAACAAATTGAATATTTTGGTTAACTAAGTGCCACAATATCTGCTCTGTGTGACCGCTGCCTTTTTAAAAAATGGGAATGTAATAACATTTAAACCCAGAACACCGTAAACCAGCTTAGTCTTTGATTTTGTGGGTTCTCAAGGTCCTGGGTATAAAAATAAACTATTGCTGTATTGTTGAGCAAGAACGGAATTCTGTGTGTTTTTCTAAATTATAATGACCATTTTGGATTTGTGCTTAATTTCCAGCAAGTAGAAGTATATATAATTCTTACTAAAAAACAAAATTATCTCACTTAATAAAACTCACTTAACCTTGTGTGCGTTTGTGCTTGTCCCAGGTTCCATCACACGACGCTGGCGGTGTGCTGTTGTAGCAAAACACAGAGTGGGGAGAAATACACTGACCCCTTCAAACTCGGTTGGAGACACTTGAACGGTCTGTATGAGGACATTAGAAAGGTAAGCTCGGTTTGAACGTGCTGGGAAGTAATGTTGGTTTCTGAGAATTGTGAACAGACGGTGCAGGTTTTCAGATACGTCCAGTGCCGTCGCAAACTTGATTCATGAGTGCCTGGGCGCCTGCTGGGTCGCCGTTTACAAGCCTGCCTGCGCCCGTCTGCATGCCGGTCTTTGTGCTCCCGGGGAAGCCACACTTACCTCAGGGCCAGCGTCTGTCCCGCTGCGTACCGCAGTTACTGCGTTCCTTCCCCCCATGCAGACGGAGCTCCTCAAAGGCCGGGACGGTCTTATTTTTCTTTGTGACCTCTGCATTTATTACTATGCTTGGCACTGAGGTTGATATTTTGGTGAGTTAAACACTGGCACCGCCGGAGCATGTTCCCCTGAGCCTGGCTGAGGGTCCTCAGGGGCCGTTCTTAGCCCCCGTTGCTCTGGGACATAAGCTGTGATTCATTCTAGCAAGTCCTTCAGAGGCGCATACAACACACAAGTCCATCAGCTAGAAGGCTCCCCCTCTTCATGAATCCAAACCCTACTTGTTCTTTAATTCCAGGTCGAAGCTTCTATCCTCCAGTAAATATTTGGTTTTCTAGCCCACACTGATTTCTCCCTTCTCTGAACTTTTACTGCATTTAATTTAATTTACTGCTTTTAGGGGTGCCTGCGTGGCTCGGTCGGTTAAGCATGTGCCTTCGGCTCAGGTCATGATCCTGGGGTCCTGGGGTCGAGTCCCGCGTCGGGCTCCCTGCTCCGCGGGGAGCCTGCTTCTCCCTCGCTCTTCTTGTGCGCACTCTCTCTCTCTCTCTCTCTCAAATAAATAAATAAATAATCTTGAAAAATTTACTGCATTTAATTATGTCATTGCTCAAGTTACCACTCTGAACATTTTATATTTTTAAAAAATGTATCTCCCCAGCTCAGTTCTAAGTTCCTCACAATCAGGCAAACCATGTCTTCAACTTCCTCTGTGAACTTCTGACACATCTGGCTGAGCCAGGCTTACTGATCCCTGCTTCCTCCCGGCCACCATCCCCCTTCCTGTTCCTGATACATGGCTTTGCCTCCATACCCCAGTCACCCCCTTAACTCCTGCTTCATTGGCTCCCATGCTCCCCTTCTTTGTCCTCTCCCCTCCATCTCCCAAGTGGCTACCAGCCCCTGTTCCTCTCTGGTCCCTGGGCCACCGACTGCTTTCCTCCTCCTCCCTGGAGTCTGTTGGAGTCTTTGGGCTCACCCTAGCCCTTTGGCCACTCGGGCGGCCAGACATCACGTGTGGCCCAGCTATAGGGCGGCCTTACAGTGTTGGAACCTCTTCCAATCGAGTGTTGAATTTCTCAAGTGAAGTGAGTATACAGAGTACAAGCGAGTACACTGAAATCAAATCAAAGTTTTGTAAAAGAAATCCTGTTGCCTTTTTTGCTATCATGATGCCATATTGACACAGAGAAACTTTATTTCAGGAACTACTCATATCTACAACCGAACTTAAGGAAATGTCTGAATACTACTTTGATGGAAAAGGAAAAGCCTTTCGACCAGTTATCGTGGTGCTAATGGCCCGGGCGTGTAATATTCATCATAATAATTCCCGGTGAGTTATTTACTTTCACTCCTCTGTTGTTTTGATATTTGGCAGGTCTTCCTTACCAAGCTTGCCATTTAGTTCCCGGATGAAGTGGTAGCATTTATCTTAGAATTCACTTTGTGGTGAGTAGTTTCTGGCTTTGAGTCCCCAAAGTCACCTGGTCTGGGCATCTTCCCTTTCCACACTTTTTAATGTCCTAGAAGAACAACCTCAGCTGCAAGTAACCATTTTGAAAAGAATTTTAAAAGCCAAAGTTAGTTTTCTCCCTCAGAAGTAAAGAAGAGCAGGGTGTGTACATACATGTAATCATTATATACACGGGGCCATTAGTCCAAAGGTTAATAGTTATAAAGTTCTGAGCTGCATGCCTGCGCCGTGAGGGTCTGCCTTCCTGTGACCTTCGGAAATTTGCCAAAGAAAAATCTTTGGAGAAGAAGGCAATTTTGACTGTTGGTCCTCAACTTCCGTGTTTTGAATACGTATAAAATTTTTAAATATTAAAACAACCGTATTAAAGGAAATCTTATAAAAAAAAGATTGACCCCTTGCCTTATGCAGCCATCTCCGCTCCCTCTTGTCCTCTCTTCTTGTTCTCAGTCATTCTATATGTATCTATGATTCTTTACTCACCCTGTTTTCTCTCTTGCCCACGTTGCTGGACTGTCTTCATAGCTGTTCTTTTTACATGGTCTGATCTGCTGACGGAAGTTCCAGTCCACCATAATGTGGGCTACCTCTCCCTAGTGCGGACCGTTTGCGTTATGTTCCCTCTTCTTAGGGGAGCACACTTCCGGGAATGCCTCAGGGAGTGTCGGAGGTCGCCTCTTAGCAGCTGCTCCCCTCAGCCTTTTCTTCCCTGCTGCTGTGCCCCCTGCCCCAGCACGTCCCACCAGCTCAGGGTGCCTCCCGCCCGACCCCCACCAAGACCCACCAAGTGCTCACAGTGCTCGCAGTGCACTTGGAACAGCCAGTGGGATCTCTGGCTGTGGACCATCCTCGGGACCACGTCCACTTCACCTGGGAGGCAGAACCGCAGAAATGAACCAAATTTGAGATACATCTCACACGATCTAGAGCAGGGTTCTCGGCCTTGATGTTTTGGGCCAGATAATTCTTTGTGTGGGGGCTGTCCTGTGTATCACAGATGCTCTGCAGCGTCTCTGGCCTCTGCCCCCCCAGATGCCAGTAGCGCCCCCCCAGATGCCAGTAGCACCCCCCGCCAAGTTGATGACAACCAAAAATGTCTCCAGACATTGCCAGATGTCCCCTGGGGAGCAAAATCATCCCTGGTTGAGAACCACTGGTCTAGAGAGAGTGTGTGTTTTTATTTTTAATTTCTCGGATTAATGTCTAATACAGTTCATTACCGTCAGAGGTGACATGGGAAGGAAAACATCCTGCATTGCTTTAAATCCTCTCCATTGTTATCCCCGTGGTTGCAAGTTTTTTCAGTTTGCCTTGCTGAAACTGAATAAACTTGGTTGCAGAAAACATGGGAGAATATAACACAACAAAGGCATTGCTAGTTTAAAAAGTAAGTTCAGGGGCACCTGGGTGGCTCAGTCAGTTGAGCGTCCAGCTCTTGATTTCGGCTCAGGTCATGATCTCAGGTCACAGGATCGAGCCCATCAGGCTCTGAGCTCGGCAGGGAGTCGGCTTCAGATTCTCTCTCTCCCTCTCCGTCTGCCCCTCCCCTGCTCGCTCTCCCCCTCTCTCAAATAAGTAAATAAAGCTTAAAAAAAAAAATGCATTCAAGGGCACCTGACTGGCTCAGTAGAGCATGTGACTCTTGACTTTGGGGTTGTGATTTCGAGCCCCATGTTGGGGGTAGAATTTACTTGAATAAAATGAAAAGTAAGCTGAACACTGCCCTCTCCGGGATCTTTTAGCGGCAGCCTCATTCTCCCAGAAGTGATGGGAGCAGGGCTCGGCAAGGCACGGTACAGAGGCAGAACTGCGATGGTGGCATGCATGCGAGTGGAGTAGTATCCCACAGTACCACTCCCCAAGCCCTCGCTTCTTGAGAATACTTGCTTCCTAAGAGCCCTTTTAAATCAGGCTCTTCATTGGCTAAATATCTAGCTGTTACTTCCGTGCCTCTTACAGCAAGAGGGGCGTGGGGACAGGGCGGGGGGAGCTTCTGGAGACCTGGGCCATTTCCGGTTTTGCTTGGTGAGAAAGACTTAGAACAGTATGGACAAAAAGGAGCTATAGATTCAGGGGCAGGACCTCACAGAGCCTCTGGTTCCAGCCAGTGCCACCAGAGGCATCCCCCAGCCCTGGGGGCACCAGAACCCATTCCAGTCCTTCATCCGCTTGCTCGCTGGTGATGGCGCAATTGAGAGATCCCTGCTTTATCGTCTGACAATCAAAGTTTAACGGCTTCTTTGCAGCTTATCAGGCATCATCTTCTTGTTTGTGAATGTCTATTACATAGGTCAATAATAATCCTAGAAGGGATTTTGGAAAACCGAATAGAACAGACACCTAAGAAATAGCGAGGTGGGGAACTACCTTTTATTGATTTTCCTTCTTTCCTCAGTAAACTTTTCAGTGGTCCATTAACTCTTCCTTGCCAGATTGCTAGGACTTCTTAACCTGAGGTCCATGACAGTTATGGGGTCTGTGAGTCCCTTAGAATTGTATGCGGAATTTTTTGTGTATTTGCATTTTTCTGGGGAGGGATATCAGAAGCTCATAATATATTCTCCAAAGGCAATATGGCCCCGAAGAGCCTAACACTCAATCTTTATATTTCCTGTCTGTATCCTGATAACACAGTACCTGGGCAGGTAAAGTAGGAATGCACAAACAAAAAGACTCAGACTTGAAAGGTCCAGAAAACAGCTGCGGTGGTTCTGAAATGCGCTGCCTGGATCCTCCTGCAGTGAAGGACTCAGTGCTGGACCGGGTCTCGTTGGCAGAGAACCTTCAGTTCTGAGCCTCTTCGAGGATCGCGTCCGCTGCAGCAAATCCTTTCACCAGAGCCGGCCCAGATGGGGGCACTGAGAGATGAAGGGCCATTCTGGCTCCAGCGCACACTATGGATGGGCCTGCATCACAGAAACTTCTCCCTCTACCCAGTCCTGTTTCCTTCTCTCCCTCACATGGCTTTTGATCCCAAGGGCACTCCCGAGACAGGCACTTCAAACTTCGGAGTCTGCTTCCCAGAGAACCTAGTGTGCACCAGAGTTCAGCAAACTAACTGTAGGGCAGGACTTACTTTATCAAAGAATCGACATCAAAAATGAGCTTTAGATAAATAGATGTCTGTAAAATTGCTCTCCTCACTGAACGCAGCACAGCTGTAGTGTCTGATCTTTCTCCAACAAGCCAAACCCCCTGCTCAGCAGCTGCATCAAGGGGACCGCCTCTTGTCCTCGATCTTGGCCCCAGTCGTTCCTTTGTGGAAGTCTTCCTGCTCTGGAGGCGGCTGTCGCTGTCAGTGATTGGGGTAACAGGATTGCTCACATTGTATTGGTCTTCATTATGCAAGTCGCCAAGTGGCACTGAATCCCACTGGTCCAGTTACCAGAGCCAGACGTTTGATCAGATGGCACAGATTTTAAGATGCCGTTTTCATATTAGTGATGATATCAAGGGTCCTAGTGTGATAAAAATCCTACATGCAGAGGAGGCAACTTTTATGATTCTGACACAGACAAAGGAAATTACAAAAGCCTACCCTCGGAAAACGGTAACGAAATAGTCATTACAGCACCATCTCACTTAAATGATTCCTGAGATCAGGCCATTCATGAATGTGGAGCCATTCCTCGTTTCTGTGTGTTCCAAATCACTGAGCCAGCCACTACCGTAGCAATTTATGACATAGGCGGGAAAGTTGGTGCCCAAAGAAACGTTTTTGCTTTTAACCTAGGAGATGGCCCTTTCGATGTATCTGTACTCGTTACTGAAATGGATCTTGAGGGCAACAGGGGCCCGCATCAGCCTCCCCTCGGCCGGCTGCGCCCCTTCTGCGGCTGGAGGGCAAGTGGAGCAAGAACTGGAGCCTGAGGGACAGCCTTAACCCCTCTTGACTGAGGTCCTGCCGCTCTCACTGCCAGGAGCCTCCTTCTCTGGACCTGGCGCATTCTAGCGTCCCAGTGGCCTGGGCCCTGTGAGTGGAATGGTCGCCGAGGTCCAGGACGTCGCGTTTCCCCATGCCCAGTGGAGGGAACTGGGGAGCCTTGAGGGTCCCCGCTCCCCCTGCTAGGGATGCAGAAAACCCCCATTTGGTGAGGAGCAGCTGTATTCACTGGTGAGTAGAGCTAGATACCTGTGATCACCAACGTCGAGCTAGGTACCCGTGATCACCAGCGTCGAGCTAGGTACCCGTGATCACCAGCGTCGAGCTAGGTACCCGTGATCACCAGCATCGAGCTAGGTACCCGTGATCACCAACGTCGAGCTACGTACCTGTGATCACCAACGTCAAGCTAGGTACCCGTGATCACCAAGGTAGAGCACTGTGCTACCCTGAGCTGGGCAGTCGTGCAGTACCGACACGTCTGCGTCTACTGCTGGTTCCGTAAGCACCTCAGACCCTGGTGAGACCACAGTCATTGCTTTTAAGGTTGTTAAACTCTGCCCTTGCACAAAAAGACACTTAGCTTATGAAAGCGGACTCCTTGGGCATCCACAGATCCAAGGTTAAGTACTGCACTAGAGATACGTGCTACGCCATACTGATCCTCCTGGGAAAGAAGTTCTGTTTTCTCTTGGCCAGTCTAACTACATGATTACATGATGAGAAGCAACAACATATTGTGTGTGGCCCCAGGGATCTTGCAGGGGACTTGTTAGGAGTGCCAGGCTGCTCTGTGAAAGGGCACAAGAAAATAGATACAGGGTTCTACAGAAACTTGGTAGTGGACACTCAGCATGAACCATCCGAGTCAGGCACATGTGTGAGTGAAAATAGGTGTCATCTGGAAGGTGGGAGTGATCAAAAAGACCCTGGCAAGAGCTACAGGAAGAGAAACCTTCACCTTCAGATCTGGTGC